ACATTTGCACGCCACAAAACAATGGGTGGACCATCATCAGAGTCACCTTCTACCATGTTGCTTATGAGCACGCACAGCACAGCACAGCACAGCACGCACAACAACTGGTGGACCATCATCAGAGTCACCTTCTACCATGTTGCTTATGAGAACGCACAGCACAGCACAGCACAGCACGCACAACAACTGGTGGACCATCATCAGAGTCACCTTCTACCATGTTGTTATTGACGAACGCTAGCAAGATGCGACTAGCCACACGCTTTATGCTTGTGCGTTAGCGTGCTAGCCAGCACGACAACAACATCTTTGGTGTGCTGTGCTGTTGTGTCGGACCGTAGTCTCAAATACGCCAACAAAGATTAACAATAAAATAAAATAAAACCCCAATAAAGTAATAGAAACAAAAAAATAAATATGGAAGCACGCACACAGCCACAGCACCAGCACAGGCTAACGGACGGTAGACTCTGCATGATTAGCCGACCACCAGTTATCTGTTGCCGCGTTTGCTGTGCTGTGCTGTGGCGACCGATCTTCTTCAGAGTCACCTTCTACCCATATAGAATGCAACAACGTTAGTGATGATATCTGAACGTTAGAGTGAGCACCTCTCAGCAGCACATAGCATGATCAACCAGGTGTTGTTGTCGAGCATGCCAGCCAGATAGCTCAAGCTGCTTTGCCCGTTCTCATAAAAGCAACTAAGGGACCAGTAGAAGTGTGACCTCTGAATGATGGTTCACAGCCAGTTGTAATGTACCTGTCTATCGCGTTGCATGTGGCTGTTGTTTTGGTGCTTGATTCTCGTAGAAACAATCGGCGCTAGAAAGGCTGACCTGCTGACTACTCAGACTCGGGCTCGGCACACAAGCTACTGTGTGTGCGTGCTGTGCCCTGTGGGCTAGTCGATCTGATGTCCAGGATGGCTCACTCCGTATAAGTAACTACTAGTTTGGCTTGGATGAGTCCTCGCACAGCACATACGTATGGGCAGAAGCAGCCGTCAGACCATCATGCTACCTGATTGATGGCACTCGACACAACTTAGTTAGCTGGTGTGACCATCGATAGCTTCCAGACTGGTGCTGTTTTTGTCTATCGCATGTTCGCCTGTTATGCATGTGCGTGCTGCATAGAACGCACACATGTACGAAGCAGGCTGACTGCTGGCACATAGGATCGCGAGTCCCACAGGCACACCAAACGAATATGTTGTGCCGGGTGTGCTGTGCACCATCGCAGGTCACCTTGTCTACCATGTTGTATTAGTCGCTGATCGCGCACAATTGGCTACATACAGCAACATGGTAGAAGGTGACTCTGATGATGGTCCACCAGTTGTTGTGCGTGCTGTGCTGTGCTGTGCTGTGCGTGCTCATAAGCAACATGGTAGAAGGTGACTCTGATGATGGTCCACCAGTTGTTGTGCGTGCTGTGCTGTGCTGTGCGTGCTCATAAGCAACATGGTAGAAGGTGACTCTGATGATGGTCCACCAGTTGTTGTGCGTGCTGTGCTGTGCTGTGCTGTGCGTGCTCATAAGCAACATGGTAGAAGGTGACTCTGATGATGGTCCACCAGTTGTTGTGCGTGCTGTGCTGTGCTGTGCTGTGCGTTCTCATAAGCAACATGGTAGAAGGTGACTCTGATGATGGTCCACCAGTTGTTGTGCGTGCTGTGCTGTGCTGTGCTGTGCGTGCTCATAAGCAACATGGTAGAAGGTGACTCTGATGATGGTCCACCAGTTGTTGTGCGTGCTGTGCTGTGCTGTGCTGTGCGTGCTCATAAGCAACATGGTAGAAGGTGACTCTGATGATGGTCCACCAGTTGTTGTGCGTGCTGTGCTGTGCTGTGCTGTGCGTCTCATAAGCAACATGGTAGAAGGTGACTCTGATGATGGTCCACCAGTTGTTGTGCGTGCTGTGCTGTGCTGTGCTGTGCGTCTCATAAGCAACATGGTAGAAGGTGACTCTGATGATGGTCCACCAGTTGTTGTGCGTGCTGTGCTGTGCTGTGCGTGCTCATAAGCAACATGGTAGAAGGTGACTCTGATGATGGTCCACCAGTTGTTGTGCGTGCAGTGCTGTGCTGTGCGTTCTCATAAGCAACAAGGTAGAAGGTGACTCTGATGTTGACGCACAAGTTGTTGTGCGTACTGTGCTGTGCTGTGCTGTGCGTGCTCATAAGCAACATGGTAGAAGGTGACTCTGATGTTGACGCCACAAGTTGTTGTGCGTACTGTGCTGTGCTGTGCTGTGCGTGCTCATAAGCAACATGGTAGAAGGTGACTCTGATGATGGTCCACCAGTTGTTGTGCGTGCTGTGCTGTGCTGTGCGTTCTCATAAGCAACATGGTAGACGAAGGATCCATTCATTTTTCCGTGTTAATCGCATTCTTGGCCCCATGGCGTGACGCCAAACTTAAAAATCAGCCTTTTTGACCAATTTAAAACCTCCATAACCTTTTCAGTTTCCGGGGGATTTTCAAAATTTTGGGCTTAAAATGATCACAAAGGTCAATATTTTAAGAAACGAAGTATTTTTATTTTTTGATATTTTTTCGGCGAATCTCCAAGCGTAAGAAAATTCCAAAATTTTGACAAAAATTGAAACAATAAATTTTTTGTAAAATTTCATGCATACGAAAGTTGAACTCTTTTCAATGATTTTCGGAATTTTTTTTTTGAAAATCCGCCCAGGACTTCAAAAGTTATGGCGGTTTCAAAAATAAAAACATACGAATTTGGCGAATTTGTCGCAACATCATGGCGCCAAATATGGGATTAACACTGAAATATGAATGGATCCTTCGTCATAGTCCTAGTAGATTCTAAAAAAACATTGTGGATACCCTGGACACGAGTAGCAGTCGGGAACCTTCCTTTGTAGTAATTTTTATTGTGAACAGAATAGCAAATTTCATTCTCGCAATTATATGCCATGGCATAAGAGGATAGATTTAGTGAAGTGCAAGCAAATTATATGACATTTAATTATTTTAAATGATTAGTTTAATGTTAAAATGAAAAAATAAACTGTGTCGTGGTAATTGGCAAACTTGTTTATATTGGAAAAGTTTGCATATTAGTCACCTAATGTGGACCGTAACCCTGTTAACTTAATTCGTATATATTTACATCATGTTTCACATATTTACACTCTAAACAAAATTTTAATGAATCATTACTGCGCGGAGTGCATATATGACTCTACCGCGATAGTAATGATTTGGTATTAAAACAATGCTACATATGTATATGGTAAAAAAAAGTAATACAAGTAAGTGTTAAAATTATTACCAAAAAGTGTTATTTTATTACTATTTAAATCTATTCCAACATGGTATAAATTTTTAATTCCGTCACGGTAGAGTCATATATCTACTCCGCTTGTTTTTTTTATTACCTAGTTGCTAAGAGTGTATATACCATGAAATTTTCTTGTTTGAATTAATTTCGAACATATATTTCATAGTTATTTGCAGAACATTACACATTACAAATATGTGTTATACTTAAACTTAACCTAGATAATTAATCCTTTTCGCTCTCCACCACACAAATAATGGGAACTATGTTATCTCTAGCCCCGTTTTAAATACCAAAAAAAGGAATTTTTGATTTAAATTCGGACCTGTCCGTCGGCCATCTGCTATTGCACAATGCTCCTCTTAATTTGCATAAATTTCATTTTCAACTCTTTATATTGCTTTCCCAACTCTTGAATTCTATACAGTTCGACTTGTAATTCCTTGACCAGCTCTACCGAGGCATCATACTGAGTCAAACTATAACCACTCAGCGCAATTCGACCCACTCCAACAGCCAGTCCCAAAAAACACAAGACAGGATTACCCAGGGTTGCTGCGACAGATGCAGACAACAATTGAAGGCTACCGGTACCTACGCCTAAAATTGAATCATTCATGAAATCGTTCCCCCTCAGTTGAAGAATTTTCGTTTCGTTGCCAATTTGAATTTCGAGCCCAACTATTTAATTAATTTTCAAAATAATTATTCAAACTTTTTGAATTGTCCCATAAATTGTAGAATATTTCGTAAATTATAAAATATATATGTATACTTACAGATACACTCCATGACTTGTTCTAACTTATAATCTATGTCGTCCTTCATAAGATTCAATTGCCAGAATTCACCCTGATTCATTGTTCTGCCGTCGACATTGTAAGTCTTTTCAAACGTTTTGATCAACTCCTCCACTTCCCTCATAAGATTCCCGGCTTGAATAATTTTCTCCCTGGACCTGTCTCGTAAATTTTTCGCGTTTTCCAAAAGGATGATAAAATTTTTCAATCGGAAATATTGCACCCCAAGAGCACCAATCTCCATGGCGAGGCCAAATTTAATTAGCAAATTCATTCGGCTTGCAGCTTTCGCCGCTTCGGCACAATGGCCGCCCGCATTGATGCCCCTGACGTGTAGATAGGCAGCCCCAATGGGTTCCACAGCCTTAATTATAACTGGCAAGGACGTGAAAACCGAGTTAAGCAGGCCATTCTTGACTTCGGTGGGTGCCTGATTAAAAAAAAGTTAAATTATTATGCAGGTAAAGGGGGGGGAGGGGTGAGCACGCACAACTGATGGCTTACATTGGCGCTCAATTTTTCGCCCAATTGTATTAAGTTGCCAATTTCTGCTTTTACATCCATTGTGAGTGAATTTAATAGAATGTAAGCAACAATTTAAGATTCCCTTCGAAATTGAACTGCAATAAAAAAATCATTAATACAAATTGGTTGCCTAAGTGAATTATTACGGATAATAATGCAAAGATCGAGTCACAAGTCAATAGCTACTATAAATATGTGCTGTGATCACCAATTTCAAGAAATACTTTTATTTTTTGCGGAAGTTCAGACTGTTCAAACAAGCAGAATATTTAGCATACGGATAGCAGACGACTGAATATCTTCAAAAACTGTCAGTGGTTTAAGTAGCCCCGGCTGCAAATAGATAAGAACATTTTGCAAGGTATGCATCCATTATTAGGAAATCCTTGTGATCAGTTATCAGTCTGGAACAACGTAGTTGATCAAGCACGGAGTGGTTCGGCCGATCCAAGTTTGAACTCCACACAATATTTGCGTTGATAAGCAAAGTCTGAAGGGTTCATTCAACTCCAATCTTTTTTGTATTTTGCTTCATGAAGTATGAGAATAGGAGACGGAATAAGTGGTCTCGTTTTCACTGCGAAAATTTTTTATTAAGCATACCAACGGCAGTAGTAGTAATTTGATCCTGAAAGTTGAAATTGGAAACAGAATTTTTTGATTAGTTAAGAAATAACCCCACGAACAATTGTCTAAACCCGGTTCCCAAAAGTGTCCTTTGTGAAATCTATGCTCGATTCAACCGCTTGGGATTCAAATATGGACGGCAGCCGTTAAAATTAGTGAAAAAAACAGCATCTTAGTGTAAAAATTGCCCCCAGTGTGTACATAAATATGAAAGTTCAAAGGTTAGGTCGACAAAGAAAATAAGTATTCGGAAAGACTCAGAAATGAGTTCAAATATAATACTTACTTAACTTATAACTTTACTTCATAATTGCTTAACTTTGAGTTCATATATAGTTTAACAATTGCACAATTCACTCATTTCACACGTTAACGAAGATTTGACTTGAGTGCACCCAATATTTCACACTATCTTGTTTTTCGCATTTGAACGTTTGCTCTTATCGGTCAGGTACATATGTATGTAAATAATTTACGGGTTTTTCTATCTGCTAACACTCCACGTATAATTGTACGTAATACCTACGTGATAATCACGTTCTGCGCAATTGCATATGCATAAGTGCTCAGTGGTCTTGATCAGTGTGTGCAGGGCAAAAAGGCAGGCAATCCCTTTTTGCCTGCATTTTTGCCTTTTTGCCCCACAAAAATGGTTGCCTTTTTGCCTTTTTGCTACTTGGGGCGGGATGAGACGTAAATTCTAGGATAAAATTCCAACAATTGTAAGTGAAAGTTATTCATTGCGTTGCCTACCTTTTTTTATACACATTGCCTTTAACCCACAAATTTAATTCAGTAAGCTGATGACGATGCAAACACAACCATAAAAATATGTATTTAGGGAATAGTACATTAATTCAACTAATTTAAAGTATCTCCGAAAGCCATAACTTTCAAATTAAATTTAGAAAATGAAATATATTCTGTAATTTGTTTAGTATGCTACAAATAACAACATGTTATAAATCTCGCACATATATGAAAATATTCCCAAAAATCAAAAAGGTTTCAAAAAGGCTTCAAAAAAGCAAAAAGGCACGCAAAAAGGCAATCCGGCATTGAAAAAGGCATGAAAAAATAGCAAAAAGTCTGCCTTTTTGCATACACTGGTCTTGATGGGCGTTGGATGACTAGGTATATGCATGAGATTTGATTCGGAAAAAATAAAACTGCATCTTATATAATTTGAGTTCGATTTGAGACACGGAGGAGAGTGGTCGAGTCTCTCTCTCTCTGCATTTCAATCGGCTCCACGTAACAACTACACACTTTACTCAGCTCTTTCCTTGCGCTTTGCGCATGAAAGTGTAAACTGTTAAATTGTGCACTGAAAATACTGCAACAAACTACCCAGGCTATTGAAAGTATATCTTTCTTACACTCGTCAACACTACGGGACAATCATCTCATAATTTTGTGGGGGGCAGAATTTTGTGTGTGCGTCTTGTTAAAGCCGAACTGTATTGTCATCCAGAAGGAGGACCGGGTACGTCTTTGTTACTTCGTCGCCACATCTTGCAACGTTTTTCGCCAAATGATGGGGGCCGGGACAGAGGACGCTCTTCCAGCCATCATCATTCGTGTCCACCCAAGGGACACCTGGGGGTCATTCTTCGTTGGGAATCAGTGCCACATCGGGACCCCGTGGCGGCCGCTGTGACCCATTTCAACAGGATGTGGCGAATTCTATCTTCGATCGAGGAGGCGTACTACGACTTGTCATCACACTCCAATGCGTGGACTTTGTTCTTCTTCCCTTTCCGGTAAGGATTGCAGGAGCAACAGCACCCACGATTCCATATCACATTCGTCTCCTCCCCCTCTTATCTACCTACCACCGACCGGATGTCATAATTTCTTCTACACACTTCTTCTCCCTTCCAAAATATCACCATACGTCGCATCTAAATCTGGCTGGGCTGGCTTCCTCTCCTCACAACAACATTCCTTGACCAATATCACGTCGCTCAAATTCTTCAACCATGGACTGGAATCTCGGCTGACTCAACAATTATACACTTTTATGACATACTTACTCTGTCACGATGGTTGTTAAATAACTGACTCAACTCTGTCTTTCGTGTGCATTATTATGACCTTGTTTTATATACTGATCTCTTATCAAATCGAACTCCCAGATTTAATGAATGTCAATTTAATTACTCATCTTACTGTAATTTTTGTGACTCATTTAATGACTTTGTAAAATTTGCTCCTTTATGGGCCCAACGAGGCCGTAAAAAAGGAATAAATCATACCAATACCAATTCCAATATCTTATATAATTTTACGTATTTTTGCTCGAAAACTGTGTACCTCCAAAAAATTAAGTCTCATCGCAAAAATTAACTCATGATAAATGCTTTTAGGATAATAAAATCTACTCAAAGTTAAGCTAAATTTCTGCAAGTTTGGATAAATAATGACTCTCATTGTTTACTCGACCAGTTATATATTTTACGCAACGTTGAGTAAATTTTACTCAACTTTATTTAGAGTGTGCATACGTCTGGTAGCTCGTTATGTGTACATAATATACACATATTTAATGAGAACGTTTGACCATCAGTTCAACTTGTGGTGAACATCAATTCATAGAAAAATCATTCAGATCAAACGTCACCATTCACACAAATGTTCGCATTTCTTACGGACTTAGGGATTTTATTTCAGTCCGCATATGTACAAAAAAACCTCAAATTGTAGGTTTAATAGGTACAGCTTGGTATTGATTTTTACGTTATTTATTTCCTATCGAATTACAACTCAGCAAATTGTCTGACACATAAATATTTAGGAAATGGAGATAATGTCAAAATTAAAAAATTATCCCACCGGATGAAGGGACAAGACCTACATACATGCATAAAACGACATGTCATTTGAAAAAAAAAATGAATCCTGTGAACAATTCAAAGCTGGGGAACTTATTGTACATATTAATTTAATTGGACAATTTAAGTTAGGATTGTCTTATTTACACTCTTTGCAACTTTGTAACAAAACCCAGAATTTCGTTGACACCAAGCGTCGACGATTGGTGTCATTATTTTCTATCCGTCTTCAGAGAACTCACCTGGAGAAAACTGCACGAACCGTGCTTACCCGCCGCTTGTGTCCACTCACGTTCTACTCTCAACAAGGGATGACTCAGCACGTTAAGAATTATCACGATGAGAAAAAATATTTTTGCACGATTTCCCATCGTGCACATGACCTCCCATTTGTCGTCGTGGGAGGTCAAAAGAATTTGTAGCGAACGTGAAATTCGAACGTTCATCGGAAAATTAGAATATTTCAGAAGTCTATACATGATGGTAAGCTACATATTTTTGTCAGATAGTAAACCAACCGTTTGTGACCCTTGGCCAGGCCTACACGGTCACTGGAGCGTCGTAGGTCAAATTGAATATCAAATTCGTGCTCAGCGTTTAAAATCGGTTGAAATTGAAACGTCTGAAGTGACTTATCGACTTTCCAATGGAGTAGATACGCAAATCACTTTCCCCACTTTCACGTCCGTTACATCAAAATTACTTTCACTTCCGTGGACAGACATTTCCAGCTTATAATATAGATGTTACAAAATGACTTAAAATAGCATGGTTTCGCAGATATACATTTAAAAAAAGCGGTATTGTTTTAATAAATCGCTTAATTATTCTGATTTCAGGATTTTATGGCAATTTTTATTTTAGGCTTAATCGGGATCAACGTTTTAATCGGTAGTATCATTGGCTGTTGTTACTGCGCCCTTTGCTGCTGTTTTGCGTCTTAGAAAAAAGGCCAAGAGTCAAATTGATTGTAAGTGATTCCTGCATAAGTTTGTAGGTTAAGTTTGTATGTTTCTGAGTTTCTGAATAACTAGTTTTTGAATAGTTACGCTGCCCATTTAGACGTACAAGTTTACATACAGAATTCTGGAATAAATTATTTACATATTTATTAAAATGTTGTGAAACTGGCTACGAGGATTATTTTTTTTTTAAATTTTACAGTCTATTTTTCTTCTTTCGACGAATAAATAAATATTGTCTCCTTCAAGGTCAGTACTCTGCATCTAAAAATTGAAGAAAACAATTTTTTCTAAGCTTGACTAAGCATCTAATCCATTTATCGAAATAAATAAGTGAGGGACATATGTAGGTAGTTGCACCATACTACATACGTCGGGCGACATATGGTTTTTCTATACATATGTCGCACGACGTGGTTTCGCAAGAACGGGACTCGAGCCGAGAACCACACCCACAGGATTTATGGTTATCCAATATCAATCTCAACAAGCCGAGCCCCTCAGCAGAAAATATTTCAAAAAAATTGAAAATTTTCAAAAACATGGATTTTTCTATTCAATTTGATAAAGCAACTGTCTGGGATAATAAATATGACAAAATTATGAAAATCCGATCAAAACTGGATTTTTGGGGAAGGGTTTAGTGATGCTAGTTTAGCGTTGGGCGCACTTCCAAAAGGGTGTGGCGGTCACAAATGGGGCAAATGTGGCATCAAACTGCGTTTATTTCGGGCAGGGAAGAAATCAACACAACTTTGTGTTCATATCTTCACGAACTTGTGTTAGCTTTCCTCCATCTGGGGAACTTTTTTGTGTTTACACAATTTTGTGGCAAATCAATTCCAAATCCGGTGAAGTTCACACCGGATTTTGTTGATCTGGGGTAAAAATTGTTAAGAGTGTAT